ACATCTGACTTGCAAACCACTATGAGGCCCCTTCCACACAGCTGAATAAAATCCCATATTATCTGCTTTGAACTGGAATATATGGCAGTGTGGACTCAGATAACCCAGTTCAAAGCAGATATTGTGGGATTTTCTGCCTTGATATTCTGGGTTATATGGCTGTGTGAAAGGACCCATAGTTAAGAAAGGGAAGTGATAAAAATCTACCCCTCAGATGGGAAATCCACTCCTGAAAGAGTTATCATGGGAAAAGGTGACTCCACTGAAGCTTTGTCCCCAGTCCGTGTTTGTATAACAAGCCATTCCCCCCCCCCCCCCAAAAAAAAATCCACTTATCAGAGAGACAGAAATTGAGATGAAATCTTCTGATCTGGGGCACAGACAGCAAAACAAACACCACAAGGGATGTTTGGATGGCATAAGTTATGCTATCCAAAGCTTGTGCGTGTTTGGCAGTAGTTACCCTTAAAAAATATACCTGTTCTGACTTACATACAAATTCAAGAAGAAACCTACAGAACTTGTCTTGTTTGTAGCTTGGAGACTGTCTGTTTATGTCTTTGTATAGTAAAGCATCTTCATATTCTCTAATTCAGCATTTCTCAACTGGGAGGGCACGAGGGGGGTGTCAGAGGGGTTGTCAGTGTTTTCTGTTGGTCATGGGGCTTCTGTGTGGGAAGTTTGACCCAATTCTATTGTTGGTGGGGTTCAGAATGCTCTTTGATTATAGGTGAACTATAAATTCCAGCAACTACAACTCCCAAATGTCAAACTCTATTGTCTCCCAACCCCTATTTGTGTAGAGTTTCGTCCAGATCCATCATTGTTTGAGTCCACAGTGCTCTGTGGATGTACGTGAACTACAACTCCCAAACCAAAGGACACTGCCCACCAAACCGTTCCAGTATTTTCTATTGGGCATGGGAGTTCTGTGTGCCAAGTTTGAGTCAATTCTGTTGTTGTTGGAGTTCAGCATGCTCTTTGATTGTAGATGAACTATAAATCTCATCAAGTATGACTCCCAAATGACAAAATCAACCCCCCCCCCAAAAAAATCCAGTATTCAAATTTGGGTATATCAGGTATTTGTGCCAAATTTGGTCCAGTGAATGAAAATACATCCTGCATATCAGATATTTACATTACGATTCAGAACAGTAGCAAAATGACAGTTCTGAAGTAGCAACAAAAATAATATTATGGTTGGGGGTCACCACAACATGAGGAACTGTATTAAGGGATCACAACGTGAGGAAGGTTGAGAACCACTGCTCTAGCTGGTCAATCAACTATGACTCTCAAAGTAGGATTCTTCTTTACTCCCAAAGACTATGCTCCTGTGGATGAAATGAAATAGAAACAATAGAACACATTTTATTGCAGTGCCACTACTACACAGTGCAACGTAGCCAACTTTTATATCCAATCCTATCCCCATGGCCAGCCATCCCCCACAGAGGATTGCTAGATATGTTTTAGAGGACAAGTGTCATGGGGTGACTCTCATAGTGGCAAAATTTCTCGCAGTAGCACCAAGGCTGAGAAAGCAAATAACCTCTGATAGGGGTATTACTTGAAACTATGTAGATGTATTTTGTACAACGGACCTCTCCTGAGATGGGAGAATTTATAATGACTGTTGGTTTTACTGATGGGTCTGTTGTTGTTGTTGTTTATTCATTCAGTCACTTGCCTCTTCGTGACCTCATGGACCAGCCCACGCCAGAGCTCCCTGTCGGCCGTCACCACCCCCAGCTCCTTCAAGGTCAAGCCAGTCCCTTCAAGGATGCCATCCATCCATCTTGCCCTTGGTCGGCCCCTCTTCCTTTTTCCTTCCATTTTCCCCATCATCATTGTCTTCTCCAAGCTTTCCTTTCTTCTCATGGTGGCCCAAATACTTCATATTTGTCTCTAATATCCTTCCCTCCAGTGAGCAGTCGGGCTTTATTTCCTGAGGTATGGACTAGTTGGATCTTCTCGCAGTCCAAGGCACTCTCAGAACTTTCCTCCAACCCCACAGTTCAAAAGCCCTATCTTCCTTCTCAGCCTTCTATGGTCCAGCTCTCACATCCATAGGTGACTATGGGGAATACCATTGCTTTGACTATGCAGAATCTTGGTTACCAGTGTGATGTCTCTACTCTTCACTATTTTATTGAGATTGGACATTGCTCTCCTCCCAAGAAGTAAGTGTCTCCTGATTTCCTGGCCGCAGTCTGCATCTGCAGTAATCTTTGCACCTAGAAATATGAAGTCTGTCCCTGCCTCCATGTTTTCTCCCTCTATTTCCCAGTTGTAAATCATTCTTGTTGCCATAATCTTGGTTTTTTAATGTTTAGCTGCAACCCAGCTTTTGTGCTTTCTTCTTTCACCTTGATTAGAAGGCTCCTCAGCTCCTCCTCGCTTTCGGCCATCAAAGTGGTGTCATCTGCATATCTAAGGTTAATGTTTCTTCCAGCAATTTTCACCCCAGCCTTGCATTTGTCAAGCCCCGCACATTGCATGATGTGTTCTGGATACAAGTTGAATAGGTTGGGTGAGAGTATACAACCCTGCCATACTCCTTTCCCAATCTTGAACCAGTCTGTTGTTCCATGGTCAGTTTTGACTGTTGCTACTTGGTCCTTATACAGATTTCTCAGGAGACAAGGTAATTTGCTATGCCCATCCCACCAAGAACTTGCCACAATTTATTATGTTCTACACCGTCAAAGGCTTGAGAATAGTCAATACAACAGAAAGAGATGTTTTTCTGAAACTCCCTGCCTTTCTCCATTATCCACAGATATTGGCAAT